AACAGCTGTCTGTCGCCCAGAGCCTATAGCCGATCCATTAAGAAATGACCATCTAGGTAAGAACCAGATACAAAAAATGTAAGGCTCTATGCTTATGTATAAGGCTTATACATAGGACTAATTATAATGAATGGTTCCAAATTGGCCTGTTGTTATCCTTGCACAAAGCAACGAGCGATATAAGCTATATAGGATTGCATAATGTCTAAAACTTCAAGCCAATGCAGTAGATCGAGAATCAACCCGTGCGGATGCTCCTGGTTCGCTTAGAAGGTCCTCCAGCCATTCACAAAGTAAGATTGTATCCGAGCCTTTGCCGGCGCCCTTGGGATAGTTCTGCAGCCTCAGCTCCGATATAGCTGATGACCTGTAACCCGGCCATACCTAGCTAGCAACCGAATAATGATCTGATAACCCTGTCCACCCTAGCCCTGGCCATCTATTCATCTCCTTATCTTCAATATAAAGCTCCATTGACTAAACCCCTAAACCCAACTGATAGGAAGTGCCACAGATTCCTATCCAACTCAGGCGGAGGACGTCTTCATCTTGAATTTCAGCAGCCCAAATCCGTCGAGGCTGGTGGATTTGTGGTTTGTTCTACACCACTGGATAAAGGAGTCGTACAATATGTTTAGCCTGTCCTGCGTAGATCGCCCCGGACGAAACTTGAGTTGTGACAGCAGCACGATTGCAGACGTAGCCATTCCGGAGCCAAAGCCCTGAATAGCAAACGTGTGAGCCGGGTCGGTGCGGAGTCGCCACGGGTCGTCAGCCCCTGGTATGGATCTGAGCGGGCTCATCTGATTTTTCCAGGGCTCGTTACCCAAATCATCCCTTGTCCAAGAACGAATATCAGACGTAGACGAGCAATTGTACCAATCCTGCCATACCCATTTACTCGATCTGGTTCAGCCTAACTAACCTATGGCATTATTTGACACCCGACCTCCTGCTCGCACATGTGACAAATCCTTGCGCTGGAGAATCCGGTCTCAAGACAGAATGCTTTGCGGAGCCATACCCAGTCTCCCTTGCACCCCATCCAGGCCATATAGAAGCGGTGCTTCTCACCGTCATAATCAACCTTCGGCAAAGTACAACAAACCGCTGTATTCATACGATTCCGGGCAACTTACTAAAACCTCGAAAATGTGCCAACTCAGACTGGCATAGAAGGCACTTCTAGACCGTCCCAGAACAGAGCACTACAATCATCTGCCATATGTTGCAACAGGTTGAAGATTGTTGTGTCGCCCTGGTAGCAACGAGCAGGTATCGCCGTAAAAAGCAGCCGCGAACAGAAGCTGTGCCTTAGGTAAATAGGTGCCATAACAAATCTGGGGATGCATGAACTAAAAAACCAGACTAGCATAACCCACTAGACTATGTACATATAGCAAAGCCTACATAAGACGAGTGACCCACTTTCATTCAACGTATGCTTCCCAAAATGGGAAAACAAGCCTTGAAATGACAGAACCAGCACAGGCATCTTCGAGCGTCCTCGCCCTTCGTCACCGTGGAGGAAGTACGGCAGTGTGCGCTTGCGATCCAGGGATTCAGTAAATACCGGGTGCAATGGATCTACTTCTTCATACAAGTCCCAGAATTCTTGGAGGTCCCGTTGCCACAGATGAACTTGGGATATATGATGACCTTGTAACAACCTGGGTGAATGTGTTCCATTGCAAAAGGACCACAACAATATCTAGAATCTACGAGTACAACATTTAGCTAGTATCTGGGTGAGATGATATCGAAGTTAAGGGTTTATAAGATTAGGCTGAGTGGGGGTCTCCTTCGGAAAGCACTGGATCCTAAAGCGAACTTGCCTCTGTGTGAAGCAAACCTCCAAACAGTGCAGACACAGCCGGGCAACATCTGTCCGCCTTGTTCCAAGATGTAGCGTGCCCAACTTGACAGTTTCATGATGGGCCACTGTAACGACTTTAGCTGCCGTGTTCGGGCATGACGGATCTTGATCAGTGCGTTGGAGATCTCGATTGGGAGTGTAAAGTTGGGCCTCGAGAGTAGGCGGTGCAGGTTCCGGCAGGTGTTTGCATCAGAAGACCTTGCACATTTGGCCAACTTTTGCAAAGTCGGATCACGTAGCCCTGCAAGCCAAGGAAGTGGAATTAGAGTGATAACTTATATAGGTTTAGGGTTTATAGGGTTTATAGGGTTTACAGATATAGCTAGGGTTTATAAGGGTTTATATTTATAAGGTGTAAAAATGGAACTATAGTGCACTAGGAAAAGTAGTGGGCCTCGTCTTTCCAACTTCCGATGGGCTTTCTGGGCTAGACGACACGTGCGGGCAGCAGAGTCAGCCTTGCTTGGAATGTAAGCAACTGAACCACATACGTTTGGCAAACCCTAGCAGCCCTATCTCATCCAAATCTTCTTCAATCCTGAATACATAATCTTCTTTAATCCTGAATACATTGAGACACATACATACATACATACATATATATATATATAGATACATAACCAGGCGATGTATGCTCCTACCCCAACCCACCACACACACACAGAGACACATTATCGAGGAAACTGTAAACCTTATAAGATTCGGTTTTGTGCTGGGTTTGTTGTTTAGGCCAGGGGCTTCTACATACATAGCCTGTAGAACCCTTATGGAAATCTCTTATCCTAAAATCCTGCAAGCTTGTACAACCCTTAGAGGACACCCCTAAAGGAACCCTTTGTAACCATCCAAGAAAGCTCAACCGCGCTTTTATAGAAATGCAAGAAACCCCGGAAGACAGCCCGGTCAGGAGCTCGTCGAGGAAGCCATCTTCTTGATCATCATCAGCGTCTACAGGACCTGGGCAGTGTTGGGGGGCCACGACTAAGCAGATGGTTTGGGTCGCCGAGGGCCCCACTTTTATAAAAGCACTCCACATCATATCCTGCGACAGGGGAGGTCGAGCATGTGCAGTGAGTCGTTCGTTTGCATGGCCAAGCCTACACAGCCCTGCCAACACATGTTAAGAAGGAACAGTAGCAGACAACTTGGGGCAGAACGACACCGATCTTTTCCATGCTGTGTGCCCATGTCGCAGACTGACTTCGCAAGATTGGCCCATGCCGTTAAGACGGCATGTGCAAGTAACTAATTGTGGAAAGACAAAATGTCTTGTTGCTGAAAAGCATGACTGATCAAAGCTCCGGTTCCGGATAGGATGCCTCAGCTTTCTCTGCTGCGCTTTTTTGAGCGTGCAGGACATTTGGCTGCCGCCTTCGCTCCAGCTTTTGCCTTCGCCTTACCCTTGGCCTTCGCCTTCGGCTTGGCAGGGGTGCTGGCACCACCCTTGCACCTTAGTTTGGGGGTTTTATAAACGTACTAGCATAGGCTTTTAAAAGGTTGTGCCGGGCTTAGGGTTATACCTTGTAGTGAGTTATCAGGGCTTCTACAAAGGGCTATTGAAGTTTGTGCAATCTACATATAATATAAGGGTCTAGGCTAAACTAGAAAAGAAGGCAGCCTAAACTTGTTCAACATCTAGATAAATTGTAGCAGAAGATCGTTTTGGATCGAACCACGTAGTTGTTTAAAGCCAGGTCCGCTTTGGTGCAGAGAACATAGGTCTGCAAGGTCTCTTTCTTCAGCCTATGGCAGCATTTTCGCAGGAATCAAGATATGTTATAAGCAATGCATCCCAGAATCAAGCATTGTCCCCTAGGGCCTCGTCAGCTCCTTCTCGTTGTCGGTGGTGGCAGCACTAGCTTGCAGCTCTGTCAACTTTGCGTAGCAACTGTTCATGTCTTTCAGACAGGAGTCCAAATTCTTCAAGAGCCTTAGCAGAGAGGTTGGATTCGACAAAATACATAATGCTAGAAGGTCATGTTGTGCATCAAATTGAGCAGCTGGATATGATTAGGGGACAAGCTGCTCCTTTGCCTTCGCGGATCCCGCCTGCTTCAACTTGTCCTGCTTAGGAAGCCATCCAGCACTACCCTAAAGCCTATAAAGCCCTAATCCTATAAACCCTAAACCCATAGCTTGTCTTATTTTGTAAGCATCCTCCCTTTTAGGTGTTATCGTTGTGGTGGTGTTGAGGGCATAGGGCCCAGGGCTATTGAGATTATAAGGGTTTTGGGTTTTGGGTTATATAATAGATCGCTTCAGGTAAAACCCATGGCAATGTGATGTATGCTAAACCGGTTTAAACTAAGCGGGCTTGCGCTGGTGGTGTTCGGCATGTTCTTGTTTGGCTTCGGGGGAATTGATTGCCATTTGAAGCTATTGCGGGATTGGGGTGCATTCGGGTCTAGAGGGCCGTGCAACTGAGTAGGTTCGTTGCATTCCTGTAATCCCCACAACTCCTAAAATAACCCATAAGCCACCAAATCCTGAAACAATCCCATGCCAAACCTCAGAAGCACAAACTCCCCAACCTGCCACAAACCCAAAACTTCAAAATGCTAAAAGCTACGACCTCCCAAACTTGCAGAAGTGTTGCCACACCTGACCGGCCTAGCAAACCCTCCGAAAAGACCATGCAAGCAATCACGTACCCCAACATGTATGTGTGTACATATGTATGTATGTATGTATGTATGTATGTATGTATGTATGTATGTATGTATGTAAGTATGCAGCATGCATGTATGTGTGTAAACTTAATTATGTATGTCCAATATACTTATGCATGTGTGTATAAAGGGCAATGTGTATAAGTTCTAGATCCATATATATATATATATATATACATTGTAAACTCACATATGCATGTGTATATGTATATGTGATAATACAGACATGGCTCTTTATGTATACATAGTATACATATGATCCCACCCATATTAGATGATCAAGCTCCTGGGCAATCTCGGCCAGATCAATCTTCTTGCCCAGCACACATATGTACTGGGAAAGCAGCCCCAGCGGTGAAGCATTCTGTTGCAGGCTGGGGAAGCACATCCTGGGCTGAGGTTTTTGGGGGATGGTCCACAATTGAAGGCTTCAGGCGGTTTGCTTTCCGAGAATCTTAAAGGAAGCCCCAGCTTGAGCCGTGGTCACGGAGTCATTTGCCGTCTGGCCCTGAAGTCCATCCGTCGGCTTGCCCAGGTCCTCGTTGGCCCCGTCGAGGATGGAACCGCTCGGATCCTAAGCAGCAGAGTGCAGTGCACACTGAAATCAGAATGCACAGGGATAGGCAGGACGTTTTCCACTTATATGGCTAGGCACATCCATGCTGAAAGCGCTCGCAAAGCCAGTCTTTTGCCCTGACTCTTTAGAGGTTTGCCAAGTCCACTCAAGAGGAATATCAGCCTCCTCCTCACCGTGAATCTCCGACTTGTACAATCTCCCATTCCGCCTGGCCCAATCAAAGGCGTTGTCTGCCATGGTCCTGGCGCAGAAGAACGACATCCAAGGCAGCTTTCAGGGTTGCTAATGTGTACTTCAGACTATATAATATAGTGCTGCGGGGGCACGTAGTGAATTTCCTCACCTCAATGAGCCATTGCTTTGTGACCGTGCCCCCCATCTCCGCTGACTTCTTCTTCTGAATGTGCCACTTCTCCAAAACACCCTCGATCTTGTCGAACGTACCATGATCTAACAAGAGTTTGCGAAGCTGCTCACCTGATGTAGCCCCGACTCAACATGTTGAACAGTAGTAGAAGCCCCATAGCACATTACAAGAAAGTCTCGGCCCTCAAGGGTCTTGCCCAAATCCAAGATATGCGGGGTGCAGCGAACTTCACCTTTGGCGTTCGGCATGAAGTGGCGACGAACCCTTAGTTCTTCTAAGCTTCACAGAGAGCTAGCACACATTGCAATTCGGCCGACAAGTAGCTTCCAGTAGCCCTCCGGCTTCGGGGCGTTCAGCTTCTTCTTGGGTGTCGGTCGCTTAGCACTGCCAAAGAGCTGCCTTCTAACATCGGGGCGGGATGTCTGGGTCTGGGTGCTGGGCGAGGGCTTTCCCCGGCTGGGGATCTCTGGGGTGTCTGCAATCTCGATGGAGAGGGCCTGTGAGCTGGCGGGCTTTCGAGGGGTGCTCTTGATCTCCGTAGGTGCTGAAGGCTGGCCTGCCTCCTCGCCCAACTTCGAAGATCCCTTTAGCATCTCCACAGTATTAGATTTGGCACAATTCTTCAACGATATCACGGGGTTCCCAGGCATGTGCTCGCCACTCGAAGTGGCAGTGGCCGGAGCACCTGCCGGAAGGTTTTAGTATGATATGAACCTATGCAAAAGGGCACGAGCCTGGCACAGGACTTGGAACAGGCTCCGGGTCTGCAACAGCCAACTGCTTCTGAAGATTTGCCAAGTTGGCTGTGGCTGCCTGAGGTAATGGAAGGACGAGCATTACTAGATATGTACGATAGAAGAGGGGATGTGTGCATGAGTCCAACCAATGAATGCAAACAAAGAGCTTTGATCTGATCATCAAGCTCAGCTTCTGGAATGTCGGACATGTTTGTCCACGATCGAGCTACCATAGCAACACCGTCGGTCAGGGTGTTCAGGGAAGCAAGAGAGGCCATGCTAGGGTGTCGATTTGTATATGGCATGCAATGACAGCATATGGCACCCAACAAGATAAAGTAGGCTGCAACTTCTCAGAATCATAACCAGACAAGATCCCCTCTGATGCTCGATGTTTGCTTGACCTGCCTCCCCGAAGCCTGGTGATGCCCGTGCTGAGCTGCCGAACCCCGCAACCTCCCAAGTTGCCTCCTGGAACACTGGGCTTGGGGCTGCAGACAGCAACAGAAATGAGCGCGGGAAGTAAAAAACGTACGTGAAACACAAAAAGCGCGCGTGACAAAAGCCTAAACATACGGATTTTTAGATTGCGCGAGAGTTGCGGGAAATTGCGCGAGAGTTGCGGCAGATTGCGCGAGAGTTGCGCCCCACATTTCCTGGCCCCAGCAGCCAAACACAAAAAACGTTCGTGCAACTGAAAAAACGTGCGTGAGCCTTTGCGTGGCCTACCAACACTGCAGAAATGACCATTCACTCTTTCCGGCAGGCAGCGAGGTTCCTTCTGCATCTCTGGACGATTGGCCGGAGCCCTGTTCGCCACTGGAACTAATTACTAGAGCCGGCCCCAACAAGTAGAGAGTTGTACTCCTCCCTGAGGTGCCCGTAGCAGTTGACCTTTGTGGGTCGGTTCAGGTAGATCCTATATCGGTAGCACAGCCACCAAACGATATATTGAATAGACCCCCAGCCTTACAACATTCTAAGGCCAAGAGACCTTGGCATCCAATTCTTTGTCAAAGCTATGGATTGCATCTTCCCAAGATGGCGGTACCATGCAATACTTATTGCGTCTCAAATAGAAATACACCGAGGGCAGCTCTGCATCTTCCCACATGTCTTTCATTGGCAGGGCATTGAACAACTCCACATCGGACAAGTTGGGGTCGGTGGTGTTCTTGTTACGTAAGCAGCCCAGAGTATGAGGAGCAAAGTCTGTAGTGAAAGCATCGTAGATTTGCTTCACAAACTCCATCGGGTAGACCCTGAGCAAATACAGTTTAGGTTTCTGTCAAGGACTAGATAGAACTTGTGGGGTTATGTAAGGGTTATATATCTAGCACGGGCAGTATACTACCCCCTTACGACTACATGCAACCCCTATATATAGCCCCTAACCCCTATCGGCTTAGAAACCCTGTAAACACCAACCGCCTCGGAAGTTCCAAGAATTAGCTAAGTATGATGCTAGTAGAGGATTTGGGTTTGGAGAGTCTTTGTGGGGATATAACGGGGTTCTTATAAATAGGGTGCAAAGCCTAGGAGGTTTCAGAGAAAATTCTGGTGTTACCCAAGCATAGTATCCTTTAGGTCTACATATAGGGCTTCTTAGTCTAGCTGAGGTGGACTGCAGTCAAACACCATATTATCGGGTAACTGGTTCATTCAGGGAACTATAAAGTAGCTAGGGCTTGCGCGATTTGGGATATTGCGACATCGTGGCCTGCTTGTGAACTATTCCAGAAAAGGTCAGCTTCTGAAGCCCCGGAAACACCCTGGCAGCACCAGAAGCGAAATCGCACCGAAACGATGCACGACATGAGTTCGTGCGAAGAGTACCGAGCTTTCAACGCGGCACGACCACGGTCTGCCCTGGCAATCGGAGCCCTGAACTCCGGACCCCATCAGTACTGAATCACTGGATGGATGGATGCCCTGCAGGCTACTATGAGTCATTGGCCAACACCAACCTGATCGAAAATTCGAAGACGTAAATCCCTAAACCCTATAAACCCTATAAACCCTAAACCCTAAACCCACCCTGGCCATCAAATTAGATACGGTGCATGTAGAAGCCTTTTGCTGGCTAGCTACAGAGGGCCCCATAAGCCAGACCGTAGCCTGTAGGGTTCGGGGGTTTGGGCACGTGGGTGTGTATGCGGCTTGGGGATTGAATGAGGTCTCTCAGGATTGTATAGGGTCCACTTCTCATTGGTTTGTGAACAATTGCTGGCGCTGGTAAGGCGTAGTAGTAACAGCAGCAACAGCAGGAGAAGTACAGTAGTAGTCTATTAGTCGTTATATAGTTAGGGGTATAGAAGGATAAAATTAGTATTTGTATTAGGTCTATTTGTTTCAGTACATACCACCCAGAACTGGCTAAAGCTTCTGAACAGCTCTCTGTCATGGGTAACTTTATATAATACCTAACCGGGGTGTGTAGGTTTAATATTTACAGATATATTGATAAAGGGCTTCTAAGGGCTTTAGGGCATTTAGGGTTTATTATGGTTTTTGGAGCTTATATCTTTAGGGCATTTAGGGTTTATTATGGTTTTGGGGGCTTATATGATTCGTCATAGGGTCATAGGGCTTTAGTACATATGTGGAATAAGGTTAAGCCGACCTGATTTATATAGGCAGTGCATGCCCAGCAACCCAGCATCCTTCAGGCTGGCGGTAGCTGTGAAGCGTTCGACACCATCGGGGTCCTTCCACCGTCCTTTGGCAGAGAGGGGAGATTGTTCCATGATATAGACACACTAGGCACTTCCTAAATCGTAAATGAGTCTGGGAATCTGGTATACTTGCAGCTGAAGATCGAGTAGTGCGGATTTTGGCTTTGTCTCGCTTGTGGAAGTTTTTGAGCACACCACGGTCAAATGTCTTGACTCGGGCAGAATTCGAATACATCTTTGTGCGCTTGGGGCTGGCACTCCCCCAATGCATAAGCCAGAAGGCTTGACCGTATACCTTGGTTTGCCTTCCAGAATAGGTAGTTTGCAGAATCTATTGCACTGCTTAATAGCACGACCAAGCCACATAGAGTACGGAATTGCAAAGCCATTCAAATCGATTGTGCTTGTGCAGAAGCGAACAGGACGGGTGTTCCAGTAGCCACGTGGTGTGCATGGCCGTCATCAGTAATATTGCCAGAACAACACTTAGATGATCATTGATCAAGCACCACTTGTTCTATATCCGGGACACTAGGTAGGATTGCTCGCAAATATTTAATTGCAGCTAGATTCCGGCTGATCATCACATTCGCTGAGGACACACTTCTGTAGGCATCCTGCCCTCGGAAATTAATAAAGGATCTCATGCTTGTGCCCCTGTTGGGAACACCCCAGGAGGAACAAGCTGGGCCCATCAAGTTCACAGCCGTCGGCTTTTCGCGCATAATGCACCATAACACAAGCCTCAGACTCCGATTGCACAGCCCTGGATTCCTAGATGTTGTCTTGTGCTTGCATCTGGCTACTACTAAGGCTGGGCCAAGCCGCGCGAAACCACCATTCGAAAGAAAATCCATGGAGGCACTCCGGTCAATCTCAATGGTCGCGACTCTCTTTCCTTTGGACTTCCTGGGCTGGTTTTACCCTAATATAAGCCCTCGTTGTAAGCCCGAGACCCATCAGTTTCTCAAAGACCTATACAATCCTAAACCACTCAAGTCTCCGAATGTGTTTATATTGTCTATGCTAGGCTCCAGTACTTGGTGGCATTCCCGACCCCCGAGAACAGGTCCAGAAGATCAAAGGACTTGGCCTGCGGTAGGTTCGTCGACCAGAGTAGCAGCATCACCACTGCTATCAAAACCTAGGCAAGCTGCACAGGGAGCTGTCGGTTGGGGCTTATATAGGGCTCTATAGGGTTTAGGGTTTTTATAGGGTTTGATTATATAGGGTTTTGAGCCTTTGGGATTTTGGTGCTATATAAAGGGCTCCTAGGATTGATCCATATGTCAAAGCAAAAGATTTCAAGTCTCCGATGTCATCCAGGCAACCTTCGGGGCTCCAACATGAATGAGCCGAGTCAGTAACGATGAGTCTGGTGCATGAGAATCCATTGCTCCGTCTAGAGAAGTTGGGCTATCGTCTTTGAGGAACGATTAGTGCAATATGGCATGCTGCTCTGCATACACATGTGGACTGCGCTGAAGCCGCCAAACACTTTCAGTAACATGCATCCCAAGCATTCAAGCAAACAACCAAGCACAAAAGACAAGGGTGGGGTAGCACCTTTGGCAGCAGCACGTCGAGCCACAGCCATTCACCTGTTGCAGTGCAAGTGGCCGAAGGTTTTGCATGCAGGGGGAATGAAGTCTTGCTTAAATAACTAGCTGGGACACGAAGTATTTCAAAGGATCACATCCACGGTCATGGCATCGTGCGCGGGATAACTTGTGATGCACAGTTTTAGCAAGTATAGAATAACCGTATCCCACTGCCAGTCCATGGCCTCGGCGTCGAAGTGGCCTGCGACGGCACCCGGTTCGGCCTGGCACACGTGTGGAGGCTGGGAGAGGGAGTTTGGGGTTTAAGAAGGACGGGCCTTCCAAGAAAGCCTGAAGAGCAACGTGGACTTCTAGCCCAGGGTCCGGAGATCCTGCCCAGATTGTTATAGGGTTTATCAGGAGGGTATATAGGGTTTAAGATATATAGGGTTTATAGGATCGGGCTTATGCAGTCCATTATTTTATTAGGGCTTATAAAGGATTTGGTTTGTAGTCCTTGCCGTGGAAAGCCGAGGCAAGCTTGCCCAGCACAGCCATGAAAGACCTGGCACAATTAGGACAATAGAAGGATAGCCATGTAGTGCTAAAGATAAGATGTCATGTGTATGCACTGCAGTCCAAGTGGAGACACGAAGTTTTGCACCGATCGTCGTGAGGCTTTTTGGTCGTCTAGGCTTTTGCCTTGATTGGGTTGGCCGTGGCATTTCCCCTAGCCAGCAGCACTCCCAATGTACGTAGCTAATGCCTACCGCACAAAACAAAGTGAGTGAAAACATCGATCATCATCCAAAAGCGCCGTAGCTTCCGCTAGTCATAGCCAGACTCAATCCTGCTCAGCATAAGCCTTGGATTGAAGGAAACTCAAAACCTTTGTGCACATGCCCACACACACACATATACACTCTCTCGCTTTATCTTTCTCTCCCTATCTTGCTCCCTCTCTCTCTCTCTCTTTCTCTGTGTCTCTAATGGATTCAACCAAGTGGCTTTCTTGGCCCGAGTGGCTGCCTCCTCCTTCGAGCAACCTTCCTTTAAGGCGGTGGCTTTGGCTTTGTGATAAGCACAGCTTTTCCGGGACTTCTGTCCCGCATCTTGGCCAGCCACAGGCTTCCGATCCTTGCCATCCTTGCTGGGCTTTGCAGCCTTTTTTGGTTTCGCCTGTGCCTTTGCCTTTGCCTTGGCTTTTGCCTTCGGCCTCGCGCTCTTGGGGGAGTAGTGCATCGTAGCCTCGCTAACCGTATCATCTGGCTTGCGCTTCTTGGGGGTTGCTTTCGAAGGGGAAGCCTTGCCTGTCGACTTGGCCGGCTTGGCTGCAGACGTCGGCCCGAGATCGTTTTTTCGGGGGCGCCCGGGCTTTCTCTTTGGAACATCTTCTGTCTTCTTCGTATCTTTCGTGGCTTTCTTTTTGGGCTTTGGCTTGGTCTTTTCGGGCTGCTCCTCTTCCTCTTCTTCTTTCTGGCCTCTCTTCTGCTTCTTCTTAGTAGTCTTCAACTTTTGGTCCTTTGGCGAAATAACCCCAGCTGTTGCCAACAGGGCAGGTCGTTTGGGATCGGCATCATCATTATCATCATGCTTGGGAGCCTCTACGGCTGGTGCTTCCTTCGTGGCTTGTGTATCCGGGTCCTCTTGGGGAAACTCTGCTGGGCTTGGGATACCATCTTCGGCTGCATCTGGCTCATCATGGCCTGGCTTCTCATTCTCGTGATCTGCTGGTTTATGCTTCAAACCAGGCTCCAGCTTGACTCGTGGCTCCTGAAAAGGCTCTCTCTTGATTCGTGCTTCCTCCAAAGGCTCTCTCTTGATGGGTGGTTCCTTCAAAGGCTCGGACGGGATGGGTGGTTCCTTCACAGGCTCGGACGACTTGGGTGGTTCCTTCAAAGGCTCGGTCGGGATGGGCGGTTCTTTCAAAGGCTCGGTCGGGATGGGCGGTTCTTTCAAAGGCTCGGTCGGGATGGGCGGTTCTTTCAAAGGCTCTTGCTTGATGGGCACCGGTTCCTTTTTGATCACCTTGCTCGGCCCCCACTGCTGAGTCTCAGTCCGAAGTCGCTTGGGGCCGAACTTTGCTGGGGGCTCCTCCGAGTAGACGTTGGCTGCAACATCTGCGGCCTCCTTTGACCGAAGCTCTTCGTCAAGCTTGGCTGCAGCCTGATTCAGCCATTCTTCCTCCATCACTTGAGTCTCTTGGGTCGTCACATTACCTGGTAGTGCATGACACAAGAAACCAAAGTCGCGATATACCCATATCTGACGATTCTAGCTGCATGCAGGGTGCCACCCACTGGACTTTTCACTTTAGCACGTTGCTGCTTTGCCATAAGCAACAACGACAGCTGGTGCTGCTGCTCTAACAAAGCTTTCAAGAGTGCACGCTTGTGGGGAGCTGGCACTTTCACCCCTGATTCAGGGGATGTCCCAGCACCTTCTGCGTGCTTCGGGGTGATCAGATCCTCTCTCGAGGGAGCGGATTGTAGGCTTCCTGGGCTCAATCCAACAAAACTCCATGCAAAAACAAAAAACAAAACCAGGCAACTATCGAATGCATGCGGAGCTTCTGGGAGAAGTGGCGGGACTTTGGCGCACTTCCGAAGGTTCACTAGGAGGCTTGGGAGCAGGGACTTCCGGTGGGGCCAAAGCCTCAGGATCATCCAATACCTCATCCTCGGTTCCAACTTCCGACTCGACACCTTCATCATAGCCGACCTGTCACATCACTCACAACAACCCCATTCCTGAACGACTCAAGCAAACCGCCGTGCCTCGTCACATTCCGTATCACCGCCCTCAAGGGTCTCGTTGGATCGCGGCTGGCGTCCTGGGAGAAGATTTGAGGCATTTGGGGAGGTGGCAACATATTGTAAATCGCAGCTATACTTGCAGGCAAAGTACCAGGTGGAAGCTCCAGGCCCAAGTGAACATATATCTTTCGAATGTTCTCTTCGTTCGGGAGGTGAGGCAGCTTGCAAATGCGGTTGAACATGGAAACCAAGTTCCGAACACGCCACGCTTGCTGGCGGCAAAACTCACCTTAGGCATCTATCACTCAATCTCGGCAGCATAGAAGCATGGAGTGATAGAAAATCTATGCAACCACGAGCCTTCCTATTGAAGCCTAGCAGCGAGTGACCGGTTTCCTGCCCTTCATTTTGCAACGCTGGAAAAACAGTTCAACATCATCCTGCAGCTGGTCCACCCCCGGACGAGCACCCAAGTATTCCATCGCCTTGGCGATGACATCCCAATTGAAATCGAGATCTGGGCGGGTGAGCACACCCGGAGCAATGATCAATCGCCCCGACGCACCCCTTTCTGCCAGGCCCTCCAGCTGAAACCAGTCGTAACTCAAGCCAGATTTTGGCAGCTCCTCTTCCCCCAGGCACATTGCTGAGAGAGACCGAGTCGTGCTCATGTTGCAATCCCATGCAAGTTGAAACTACGCACTGTGATGATGCTTCGGGTCTTTAAAGCATGCCCCTCATGTACATTGCGCGGAAGCCAAAGCTGCATAGTAATCATGACACAACACGCATGTCACCTCACACAAGCGCGCAGGCACACACACACACACATACACAACAATATAAGAAACGAAGCCGGGGATACCTCGAGTAAGATGTCCCGGCAGCCCCTGCCAGGTAGAAGCCTGCACTTCTACGGGGAGATGATCTTCTTCATCCTCTTCTGCTATGATTAACTACCCTATATCTATGTGTATCTATACTAAGTGCATGTGTGTGCAGCTATGTACTGCCTGTGACCCCTGTATGTATGTATGTATGTATGTATGTATGTAGGTAGGTAGGTAGGTAGGTAGGTAGGTAGGTAGGTAGGTAGGTAGGTAGGTATATGCATATATGTGTGTGAGCAGGTAGAGGTATATATATATATATATATATATATGTATATGAATGCAACTATCTGTATACATATGCACGTGCGTGTATATGCATGCTCGAAATGTGTGACTGGCTGGATAGGTAAGGTGGGGAACCGGTATGCGGGGTATAGATGTATAAGCATAGTAATGTGTATGTATATATATATATATATAGATGTGTGTGTATATACACATATATGAGGTGCAAGACAGGCCCGGCCTCAGCATTGGGCCATCGATGTCCAACTCGATCAGGAACTTTCGAGCACAATGCAGACAGCAGGAAAAGCATACGACACGTTTATTTCTATACGTAATTATTGAAACACATGATTTCCATACGTGTTTCAGCAATCCTTGGGAAAACACAACACAAGCAAAAATAAACATGCGATCGGGCGTTCTAGGTAGGGTTTATAGGGTTTAGGGTTTTCGGCTGAGGGTCTTTGTGCGCGCACTGGACTCGGTTTGGGGTTTTAGGGTTTAGGGTAGCCCAGCCTGTTCCCTTCACCCCTTGTCTACCCTAAACCTAACACGACCCGTACCTAAAGGATCGGAACTACCCCCCAGCTCCGGTGCAAGCGTGACCTGTATCACTCATGGAGGCTTACAGTTCCCAAGGGAACTGATTTACAACTTAAATTCCCAGTAACCTCGGATTAAAAAGGGCTCCCTTTTTGGAATTTGAATCAATACCTTAAAAAGGAACCCAAGACTCCAAAAAGGGCAGAAGGGCCAACTGGGAGACCCAGAAAAGAACACTTGGAAGACACCCGGTCACCACCTGCCACAATCAATTCCGTAGCGCCCAGTTGCTAAAGGCTGCCATGCTTCGAAAATCCTGAACCTTAAACTCGAAATCCTCCCAAACCCCGACCCCAACCCGAAACCACGACAGTACTTCAACCCCAAAACCGCACGATGAACCCTTTCCAAACCCTAAACCCTAAACCCTAAACCCCCGCTCTGCACCTTTGGAAGGTGAGATGTGGGCCAGGGCATAGGTGTCGGAGCGTAGCAAAGCGGCCTCGTCTGCATTTCGGGCTGACCCAGAATCTCGGAGGCCCTTTAAGTTAAGAAACGGACATGCACCTGAAATCATATTGCGGATCCCTTTTTACGCGATTTCGGTACAGTGATTGAATGTTCAGGGGTTTTGGAGTCAGTTGCCTTCAGGTACGGGCAGCTCATGGCCTCATATTCTTACTTCTGACGGCAGGATATCAACAGTACTAGTTACGAGTTGGCTACAGTCATTCAGAATTAAGACCATTGCTATACCAAACTGCTCTGTGATGGCCATTGATACGATATCTAAAAGAGTTGTGTCGACGGTCGAAAGCAAAACTACAGTTTATGATGCGGAGCACACTTATGCCTTGTAGCTTTGAAGGGGATTTCTTTCAAAGCCCCTACTCAACCTTGGTGCTGACCAAAACCATCTATAACATGTCCCCAAGCCGAGCAGCACTTAGCTGCAAGGATTCTGGAACTCCAACTGCGGCAGACCACAAAACCCGAAGAGGTCAATTCCCTGCTTGAACCTACCAAATCCTGGCTGCTTACGGAAGAAGATGCTTCAGCTCTGAGCCTAAACCCTAAACCCTAAACCCTAAACTTTGGCCCTAAACCCTATATATAAACACTTGAATGGGCAAGCGTGCGTGGCAAGGCACAAATGCTGCTTGTGGTTCGGGTGAGGTGTACAGCTTGAGCAACGACCCGGGAAGCCTGAGCCGACATGTTGCCCTGCGGGGTTTAGGGTTTAGAGCTTAGGGTTTAGGGTTGAGGGCTTACGGTTTAGGGTTTAGGGTTTACGGTTTAGGGTTTAGGGTTTACGGTTTAGGGTTTACGGTTTAGGGTTTAGGGTTTTTCTTTGCAGGGTTGTTGCAAGTTGCCGAAATGGTGCCGGCACGACCAACACGGACCAACACTGGCAGTGCTTGAACAAGCAATGTGCCAATTAGGAACTCGACTTGCGCCATCAACATCACAAACATTCTCTCACCTGCACCATGCGTGCCATCACCAACATTGCATCACCACATTCGTCACCAACGACAAACCAGCATCTGTAAGCACCGTCATCAGCGCCATCATCGTCAACACAACCACCATCCTCCACATGGCTAGCAGCAACCGCACTACTGGCATGGCAATCTTGCTCAGACCTTGCAATCAACGCCGCCACCACCACTGCCATCACCATCGTCATCTTCCTCACCATCATCATCATCAACAACATCATCATCACCATGCCAATACAACAACTCGCATGTCACCCAAACCGCGTGAACAGTAACTATCGACATCGGCATCGGCCTGAGCATCGCCATCAACATCATGCCAACTGACACAGCCCCGAAACCCCAAACCCTGGAATCTGCGCCCTCCCCCCCCCCCCGCCCCTCCCCAACAGGAAGCTCGCCGAGCAACGAAGTCATGAAGAGCAAGGCTGCATCCTCCGTTCTCCTACAGTCCCAAAGGGTCCAAGTAATAGTATAGTATATACTTTTGGGGCCCAAATACCTACTAAGCAACTACTATATTGGTACATGGACCCTTTGGGAGTATCTTCGGGTTTAGGGCCTAGGGCGCATGCCGAACTTGGAGGTGGGGGTCGGGGTCTCCTTTGGCGTCAGACTGAGGGCTAAGGACGTCTAAAGCGCCCCCCTTTTTTTGCCCCTGCAGAGTTGTTGCGCCTGGATTCTTTGTAATTTTTACGGCATTGCAAGTAAGAGGCTTCGGTGTAGGGTTTCCTTTGAACGGCTTCATGGCTTTGAGGATCTACACGGCTTTGTTGGAGAATGAAACGTGTATAAGGTTGGCCCTGTTGGTTGAGGATCATGATGAGTTAATAAAGGACCCCCAAAATAGTATAGGTAATTACGTAGGCCCCTACATTATGCTTGGAGTTTAGTGGTGGTTAGGTCAGGTGGTGAGATGTAGGGCATTCGACCAAATGTGCTAGAGCTGACGACTATGGCGACTAGGGAAGGTGGCGTGCGGTGTGGTTGACTTCGATTTCTAGGGCGAGGACAGAGGAGAAACTCGTGTTCAATCCTTCCTTTATTATAGGGAATCTATACCATAATTGGGCTAGTTTTGGTCTTGCATTACGTCAGACAGTGCAGTCTTTGCACACCAACAACAGGCTTTTCGTGGCGTCGGTTCTTCAATGCCAACGAGCAAGGCAACAAGGACCCTTCGCGTAGGCAGCAGTTGGTGTAAGCCGCTCCGCGCCCTAAACCCTAAACCCCCAAACACCAAACCCTAAACTCGAAACCATAAACACGTGGCATCTCGAAGACCTATTCATGTGAAAACTAGCAATACCGTTAAACGCTGAAAGACCGGTGCTTGGATCACTGTTGGGGTAGAACTGTCTTACAAGATGCTAGGAACAACACATAGCCGAGCACCCATAAAGGAACCCTTATCGAAGCCCCTTGAAGGAACCCAGAAAGGAACCCAAGACAGGAACCCCTAAGGGAAGTTCTAGACCCGAAGCGCTAAACAATTAATCCATCAACCCTTAACCATAAAGCCCGGAACCGTAAAACTTTAAACGCCACAACCCTAAGAACCCTGAGCCCTAAAAATCTAAAGCCTAAAATGCCCGAAAGCACTAAAGCCCTAAAGCCCTAAACGTCCTACCCCATAACCCTTGCAGATGAAGGCACAATGCCAGGAGGAAGCTGCCAGCCCCGACGTACAAGACGCCAGAATCCTCCCATCGAGAGTTTCCCGAAGCTTCTTGGGTGCTCGAGGCATTTCAGGGTTTCGGGCTTAGGGTGTAGGTTTTAGGGTTTAGGGTGTAGGGCTTATAGCTACATTGGGCCTTCTCTTTAATCATTACGGCCGGTCACGTTCACCGAAGCATCGACAAAGAAACACTGGCAAAGTGTCAACCTTGTTCGAGAAGGTTTCGACGGCATCAGTGATCCCAAGCACTAGATCCTAAACCCCACACACACTACGTCCCTAAACTGGCCTTCAATGCTACACCCTGATCTCGTACGCGGACCTGATGATGTTACTTTGAAAACCAAAAGTATAACTAGTAGCACTTAGGTCATTATTGGCCCAAACTGCGTGCGAAAACCGTAAGCCCAAAGCTCCCAAAACCTGGTTAGCTCCCAAAACCTGGTTTAGGGTTGAACCGTAAACCCTAAACCCTAGGGTTGAATCCTAAACCCTGAACCCTAGGGTTGAACCCTAAACCCTAAACTTTAGGGCTGAACCCGAAAACAGAATCTCAGAATGCGGAAATCAAGTTTCGATCTGAACGCCCGGAATCTGTAATGTAGGGGCCTCAATAACTAGACTAGGGTTTTGGGCCCCTTTATAACATATATTTATAATAAGGAACCCCAGCAGTAATTTTGGCAATAATTTAGACTTCTATAATACCCCAGAAAAACGAAGTCTTAAACCCCAAACTGGCCCCAAACCTATCGAACACATCTCGAATACTTAAACTCAACGCGAAGACCCTAAACCTATAAACTCGGAACAATAGGTCCCAATGATGATGTCGGATTTAGGGTGTATATATATACACATACAATAATTGCCGAAGTTTAGGGGGCCTTAAGGTAATGCAGGATTTATATCATCAACCGTATATACCTATGTATTCTGATTTAGGAAAGTGTCCGCCGTAACGGTACATAGGACCCTTTGGGTAATGACCCTGAACAGCAAGGCAGCGGTCCAACTGCAGGTAGGTCGGCAGTGTTGGAAGCCGCGGTAGCTCCATCTGCCTTGGCTTAGCTTTTTTGGTCAGCTCCTTTTGCTTCTGCCCCTTCCTGTGGTACAAGCTGTGGTAGAGGTTTGAGGTTTAGGGTTTAGTGGCATCCAGCATCTGCATTATGGACTTCAGCAATCCTAAAACCCCATAAACCCCAAACCCAAAACCAACCGCGAGGGCCTCACTCGTTCATTTGCTACTACTACTACTACTACTACTACTACTACTCCTCATACTACTACTGCTACTGCTACTACTACTACTACTACTACTACTACTACTACTTCTAGCCCCTCCCCCCCCCCCCGCCTACCAACTACACTTCGGCATTGTCATCAACATCATCACCACCAACATCACGAAATTCACAAACACATTCCATTACCAACATCACCAAAAAGCGAACACATTTCATCACCTTTCATCACCAACATCACCAAAAGTACTGTAAATACCGAGTAAAAGCTGGGTTGTGTGCTCACGAAAACCAAACACATTTCATCACCAACATCACCAAACAGCAAACACATGTCATCACCGACATCACGACAAATCAAACACATTTCACCACCTTTCATCACCAACATCACCAAAAGTACTGTAAATACTGAGTAAAAGCGGGTCGTGTGCACACGTACTGTAAATACCGAGGAAAATGGTTCCCTCAACCAATTTCGATTTTTTTTCGGCACGCCGTTCGAGACACCAAAGTTTAAGACGCACATTCTTGAAGTAGGGGTGGCAACTATATAACAAAGCAGGACATCACGAAAGTACTGCAAATACAAAGTAAAACGGCTCTTGTGGTGATATTGTTGGTTGTGTTTGCGCAACACTGTCGTCATCATCCCCCCACCCCCCCCCCCACCCCCCGGCAGAAGCAAGTGCAAAATGAAGAGGCCGAGTTTGCAAACTCGGCA